GAAGAAGAAGAAGAAGAAGAAGGTACAGAGACCTGATGATCGTTGTTTGCTGCTTTCTCATTCAGATAAAGTCCTCTGTACAGAATCCTATGCCTGGCACATTTCCCCCCCTTTTCCCCCATCCCAGGGTGGAGAGAGATTGCTTGAACAACCTAGCAGTTCCCTAAAAAGTGCTATCCACAAGTCAACAAACTCAGCATTGTAACCTTAATGAGTTGATTAGAACCCTCCCAGGCAGCCCTGGTACCTGAAACTGACTAGAGCACAATCAGTTTCACCTTGAAGGCTTTTGCTACCAGGAGCACCAAATGAGGTTGTAAACATGCATGGTTTTTCCCTCTTTTGAATTACTGTTGTATTTGAGAGGGTCCCTAGTGCTCTCTAAGCTTGGTTGCTTTCTTGAAGTTGTTTCATTACCCAAGCCAGTTACATAATGAGTGCACTGATGATGCTACCTAGCTTGGGTAATAAAACATCTGCAAGAAAATAACCAAGCTCAAAGAGTGCTAAGGGCCCCTCAATTCAACCCTGAGCTACAAATATTCTCCTTTATCAGTACTGTTGCATTTGTAAACAGTTGTTAAACAAGGACTGGTTGTAATAGGAGTTTTTTCCTGGCTTTCTCAGCTTTCCTTGAAAGTAAGATTTTGGTAACAATATCTTGAGCTACAAATATCCATCCACCCATCCTTCCTTCCTTCCTTCTTTCCCTGTATTCCCCTCCCTTCCTTCCTTCCTTCCTTCCTTCCTTCCTTCCTTCCTTCCTTCCTTCCCTCCCTCCCTCCCTCCCTCCTTCCTTTTTTCCCCTGTATTCCCCTTCCTCCCTTCCTCCAAGATTGATAACAATCTTGCTTGATTTTTGAGAACATCCAGCCTTGTTGGGTTCTGTCTTCCCATCTCAGAGAGGCCTACAAGCAGAGAGCAGATGTGGCTTGCGCACAAAATGAGTGCATATTATTTTTGGGTGGTGCAGGAAGATCGAACCAATTAGAGGAGAAAGGTCCCTCTGTAGCTGTTAGCTATTCACAAGACAATTCCGAAGACAATTTGAGTTCCAGGTGCAGGTTTTAAAAATAACATTATAGGTTTTTAAATTGTATGCTTCACATGAGGGAGGGAAGAGAATGGTGTAAAATCGTGAGTGAGGGACTCTGGAGCTATCTTTATTTCCAAGAATGCTTCTAGGTCCCACCCAGCTCATAGAAAATAAATGGATGAGGTGGTTAGTCTGGTGTTTTCTTTGGAAACGTGTCTGCAGGGCAAGAAAGTTAAACTGGAGGTGGCAGCAGAAGTAGAGAAAGAATTAATTCCAAATGGAACCAGTGAAAAGATTTCTTAATTTTTCTGGGGGTTGAAGTCCACAGGTCATAAAGTTACCAAAGTTGGATTGGTCAAGGTCGAGATTTTTAAGAAGAGAGTGGATAGCCATTTGTCTGAAAGGGTATAGGACCGTGATGGCGAACCCATGACATGCGTGCCAGAAGTGGCACACAAAGCCATTTCTGCCGGCACGCGAGAGGTTGCCTGGAGGAGCCCCACTGTGCATGCGTGTGCGCCCCCACCAGTCAGCTGATTGTTGGGTATCTGCTGCGCATGCGCAGGGGAGACGCACATGGTGGAGACTGTTATGTATATGTAAATAACATAGTTGGGTTGACAATATATAAACTACAAATATATTAAATACTGTAATGTATTATGCTGTGTTCTGGTTGGTTAATTATGCTACAAGTTGCTACAAAAGGGAGCTATAGATCATGGTTTAACTCTCTTTCTCTTTTTCACTGATAATCTATCTCAATACTGATACTGACTGACTACGGACTGATACTGACTAACCCTGTTTATTTGATATTCTGTTGATATCCAAGGTTATCTGTTGTATTATGGTTTGATATTTGTCTGCTGTAAAAGACATGGAAACGGTAAAAAGACTTTATAACTAGATGTAAGAAGACTTTATAACTGGATATATCTGGACTGTTAAAAATGTGTATGACATGGACTGTTTATTGGACTGTGCTATTTCTTCAAGTAAACATTAATGCAACTTGTTCAACTCTGTGTGGCTGTATATTTCTTCATAACCGTTCTCATAATCTGTTTTCCGTGTGCATATCCTTTTTATACAAGGGTTACTCTGCACATATCCTAACAGAGACGGATGTGCATTTGCAGGGGGTGGGGTGTAGGGGGGGGGTCACAGGCGCATGAGCAGGGTGAGTGGGTGGGTCACACATGCATTGCATCATGGGTGCAGGCACATGCGCATGCGCACTTTTGGCACGCAACATGGAAAAGGTTAGCCATCACTAGTATAGGGTCTCCTGCTTGAGCAGCAGTTTGGACTAGAACAGGGGGGGTCAAACTCAAGGCCCAGGGGCCAGATCCAGCCCACGAGGTGCTTAGACCTGGCCTGCAGGGCTGCCCTGCAAACAGTGAAGGACCGGCCCACAGTGCCTCTGCCAGTGAAAACAGGGGTGCATGTGGCCCTCCCAAGCTCCGTTTTTGCTGGCAAAGGGTTGCAGGAGGCCGTTGCAGCCTAAAACAGAGTTTGGGAGCCTGTTTTTGATGGCAGTTGCTTTGGCCACCACAGGCGCCTCTGACACGAGTGATATTGATCTGGCCACGCCCACCCTGACCACCCCACCAAGGTCAAACACAACCCTGATGCAGCCCTCGGTGAAATTGAGTGTCAGGTTTAGAAGCCATATTGAGACCAGATGCTCCCACGCTGCCACATTTTGAGCCTGGGAAAATGGGAGGGGGGGAATTTCTTGGAGTGTATGCAGTTAGACAAAATAACATTCTTTTTCTAAGTCAAGGTCATGTTATTTCTGCACCTGGCTGAGGGGACGTCTCAAGTTGAGATAGATGGCGATTGGGGCATGTGATGTGATGATGGGTGCAGGGCACGGATTTGTAGTTTTTTTTACTTATTGCAAAGAAGCCCGGAACTTTCAGATTCAGGATTCCCCAGTTGTGCCAGTTTACTATCCGAAATAAAAATAACTTTTGAGAAGATGTCTGTCACGGAGTTATTGGTTGGAGTGGAGGTTTTCTGGAATGCTGACATCAAGTTTGACACCCTTGGACTAGAAGACCTCCCAGGTCTCTTCCAACTCTGTCGTTTTGCATTCTTCACAGTACTGGAGACTATTATTTCTTCCTGCCCTACCATCACCCTGAACATTTATTTATATTGTTCCCTAGTGACGACGAAGATTTCCGCACTGATGTACCATACAAATTTAATCATGACTGGCATGTTTTTGTTCTATCCAATATAAATGTATTTTTTTTCCTCATCTGTGAGGGATCCATTAAGAGAGACGAATCCTTAAATCATTCGGGAGGTAATTACTTGGAGTGGTTCACAGCATCTTGGATAATAAAGTAAGAAAGGGTCGGGGAGCAGAAGACACACTTGACAAGGCATACAAATTGTGTCTCCTGGACTTACATCACTCACGGATTGGTGAGGAAAGGAGTAGGCCAAACTCTGGTGGGCTGTGAACACCCCCTCCCCCCACTTCCATAGGCCTGGAGCTCTGAATCCATCAGAGCATCACATGGCTTCAGCAATTCAAACCAAGGACTGATTTGATTTCGCTAAATTCATTTGGTTGATTTGGACCAATTTTGAAGTGTTTCCTTGTAAATAGAGCAAATTGGTCCAGATTAAATTGAGAATAGTTTGTAGGTTCAAGCCAACTCTATTTGAATGCCTCAATCAAAACGAATTTATTTTATGAATAAGGTTGAAGGTAATCAGGTCCAATTATCCCACCCAACAGCTAGAACGTATAATAATGTTGGAAGGGTTTTTAGGGACCTTGGAGGTCTTCTAGTCCAACCCCCTGCTTGAAGAGGAGATCATATATATCATTTCAGATAAATAGTTGTCCAGTCTCTAGTCTCCAATCTCTAGCACCCACGATTTCTGAAGGCAAGCTGTTTCATTGATTGATTGCTCTCACTGTTAGGAAATCTCTCCTTAGGTCCTTGGGGACAATTGGGACCAGTATTTCTGTTGATAAGCAAGATGGTTGTTAAGTGGGTTGCTCCTAATTTTATGACCTTTTTGTTATGGTGCCTAAGCAAATCACTGCAATTAATCGAATCAAACGGCTATTGGGTGAATCCTGCTTCATCCCTTGACTTTGCTTGTGAAGGATGGCTGGGCAGGTTGCAAATAATGATCGCATTATTCTGGGATGCTGAAACCATCATAAATACATGGCCCTTTCCAAGTGCCCAAATTCTGATCATATAACCATGCATAATCATGATCATAGGAGTGAGAGCTGCTATGGTTTTGAAGAGTCACTAAACTAATGATTGTAAGTCAATGACTATAGGTATGTGTTCAAAAGTCTACCTCTCTCTTCTGGACTTCTTGAGTCCACACAAAATTTGGAAACAAATCCTGTTAGTTCCTTAGCCACTTTATTCTGCCTTTACTCTTCTTAGTATGAGTCTCTGTTAGAAGAAACAACCAAAAGAATTCGTGTAAAGCAGAAGGTCCAACCTTGGCAACTTTTACACTTGTGGACTTCAACCTCCAGAATTCCCCAGTCAGCATGTCTGGCTGGAGAATTCTCAGAGTTGAAGTCCAGAGTACAGAATTGGAAGCATTGGAAGAAACCTTGGAGGTCTTCTAGTCCAACCCCTTGCCCAAGCAGGATACCCTATACTATTCCAGAAAAATGATCTCCAAACTCTTTAGTGATGGATAACCCACAACTTCTGGAGGCAAATTATTCCATTGATTAATTGTTCTCACTGACAAGAATCTTCCTCTTAATTCTTGATTGGCTCTTTCCTTGATCAGTTTCCATCCATTACTCCTTGTCTTGCCCTCAGGGGGCTTTGGAAAATAGGTTGTCCTTCTTTGTGATAGGCCCTTAAATATTGGAAGACAACTTTCATCTGATCCCTAGTCCTTCTCTTCGTTAAATTAGACATAGTCTAGTCTTAAAATTGCCAAAGTTGGCCACCCCTGCTATAAAGAAAGTCTGGGAGCTGTCCAAGGTCTTAACCTTAGGCAAAGCCTGTTTCCTCCTCCAGAACTGACCAGCTACACCTCACTTTTCTCTTTTGGCTGATGTCTCATCCACTCAAACCTTTGTTTGGCTGACCAGAGGTAAGACGTTCACTCTGCTGAAGGCCTTCTGTACAGGTAGCCTTCACTTAATGACACTCGAGATTCAAAGGTATGACAGAACTACACAGAGCTACCTAGGGATCATATGACTGCATTTTTGGACTTTTTGGGTGCTTGGCAAACAGCTCACATTTATGACTGTGATTTTTGCCACCGAGTAGAGGAATTCAAAACAAAAGTTTGGGGAATATTTGTGTGCATCCGTGTGTGTGTGTGTGTGTGGGTGCACATGGCCCATTAGGTTCTATTTGCCCGCCCCCCCCCCCCGCCTTTTAGGGAGGGATGGAATCAAATTTATGGGTCTCATTTTGTAGAAGATCCATTTAAATAGCATCCAAACAACGACAGATGTCGTCTCAAGTCCCATTTGTCTGGATTTGCCAGCTGTTTCTGCAAAATTCACCCCAGTAAATAAATAACAGGGAACAGGTGGATAAAAAATTAGAGAGCCCTGAGGCTTTGCCTTCAAACTGACTCCATGTTCTTTTCTAAAGATGGATCCCTTTAAACACCCAAGTGGGCACTTAATTTTTGATTCGCCGTGGGTGACATGTAATCAACGTGTCTGTTGGTGAAATAGCGTTTTTTTTTTTGTTTTTTGGTCACTTCCCACTTCTCAGGAAACAAGGAAAGGGTGGAAGATACACCAAAAGTGGAAAAGGGAGGATGAGTCACAAATATATGAGGGTATTATCCTATTGGTACTGGCTGGGGGAGGGGAGTTGAAACTGAGCATTTCTATATTTTAAAAAATATTTTTTCTTTTTCATAAAAAACAAAAATGAACACAAATTAATAAAAAGCAAAAAGAGAAGGGAGGGAGAGAGGGAGGGAGGAAGAAAGAAAGAAAAAAGAAAGAAGGGAGGAAGGAAGGAAGGAAGGAAGGAAGGAAAGAAGAAAGGAAGGAAATAAGGAAAAAAGGGAGGGAAGGAGGAAGGAAAGAAGGAAGATAGGATGGAGGGAGGAAGAAAAGTTAAAAATGCAGAAAGACTGAAAATAGATAGAAAAAAGGCTCTTCTAATTTCTTCTGCAGCAAATATAACTACCGTATCTTTTAATTCATGATTACAAAGATAGAGCTCACTTATTTCTTTTATCTTTTTTTTTCTAATCAAAACCACAAACCATGAGTGTATTGTTCTCTGTTTCCTTAAAAAATGTCTATAAGGACTTTCCTGGAAACCATGGATCTAAATATTGTTTCTTCCCCAATCAAAGAGGATAATTTAGCCGTCTAAGTTCCAACATCTTTTCCAGCATTTCTTCCATCAGGGGTCCTGTCGAACCTTTCCAATTTTCAGCATAGAAGGGTCTTGGCTGCAGTGATCACGTATACATTGGAGGAAGACTTTGTGTGGATCATTGACAAGTTGAACATGAGCCAGCAGTATAAGGCAGCTTCCAAGAAGGCTGATGCACAAGATCTGCCTTCAACAACAGCAACATTATTTTCTAGACTATGACTAAATAAAATTGATTGATTGATTGATCGATTGATTGATATAACAGTAGTCTTCCAGTGCTTGAGGGGCTGTCACAGAGAAGAGGAGGCCCACCTATTCTCCAAAGCACTTGGAGGGCAAGTAGCAAAGGGTAGAAGCTTGTCAAAGAGACAGCCAATCTGGAACTAAGGAGGAATTTCAATGAAGCTACCAAAAAAAGCCAAGGAAATCCTAGGCTGCATCAATAGAGGGATCATTTAAGGATCATGAGAAGTGATAGTACCACTTTATATAGCACTGGTAAGGCCACCCTTGGAATACTGGGTCCAGTTCTGGACACCATGATACAAAAAAGATGTTGAAACTCTAGAAAGAGTGCAGAGAAGAGCAATAATTAGAACTGCAGAAAAAACAGTTGCTACCAACCTGCCTTCCATTGAGGACCTGTATGCTACACGAGTCAAAAAGAGGGCTGTGAAAATATTTACAGACCCTTCACATCCCGGACATAAACTGTTTCAACTCCCACCCTCAAAAAGACACTATAAGGGCATTGCACATCAGAACAACTAGACACAAGAACAGTTTTTTTCCTGAATGCCATCACTCTGCTAAACAAATAATCCCCTCAACATTGTCAAACTATTTACTAAGTCTGCTTTACTATTACTATTATTATTAATCCTCCCATCCTTCCTTTCATCCATCCCCTCCCACTTGTGACTGTATGACTGTAACTTTGTTGCTTGTATCCTTATGATTTATATTGACTGTTTCATAGTATCATTTGATTGCTTATTGTACCCTATGACTATCATTAAGTGTTGTACCTGATAATTCTTGACGAATGTATCTTTTCTTTTATGTGCACTGAGAGCTTATGCACCAAGACAAATTCCCTGTGTGTCCAATCACACTTGGCCAATAAAAGAATTCTATTCTATTCTATTCTATTCTATTCTATTCTATTCTATTCTATTCTATTCATGACTTGATATGCCAGCAACAAGCAGTAACAATCGTTTTCCACAAGGGAGCACTCTGGCCCTAGCAAATCACGGGTGACAAGTACTACCCAACTTGCAATTCTTGCAAAATACAAACATGTCTATCTCTCACAAACTCATCTCTCGCCAGCTCACAAGCTAAGACCAGCTAGGTTAGGGAATGCATTCGTGAAAGCCCAAGCTAATTCTCATATTTTAGCTACCCTATCCAAACAGCCATCCCTTAGATTAATATGTCCTTGGTGGGAAGGTATTTTGTCAGGAGTACCAGTTCGGCATCAAGTAGCTCTGGCTGAAAGCATAAGGTTTGAGAAGAATAAGGTAACTGTCTGCTGAAGTTACACAGAATTGCATGCACAGATCCTGCAATGGTATGTGGGAATGGCCTACCCAAAAAGTGTTTATTGATAGAAGATAATATTTGTAGCTCAGGGTTGAACTGTGGGGTCCTTGGTGCTCTCTGAGCTTGATGGTTTTCTTGCAGATGTTTCATTACCAAACTAGGTAACATCATCAGTACTAGAAGGGAGTGGAGTTTGCTCTTATTTTCATATACTAGTGGCTTATCCTGTCAGTGTTGATCAGTTGTTTCACAAACAGTGTTTTGATTGGTACCGGGTCTCTATAGCCTACAGGCAGAGAAGGGCTATTCTGCACCCCTCCCTCAAATGTTCTTTAAAAAGCAAAGTTTCCCAGCATTCCTTTAGGACCCTCCAACAGGCAAACTGTGGTTACTCATCCTAAAATGAATCCTCTTTATCTGGAGCTTCAAAATTTGCTGTTTGCTGAGGAGGTCTGTAGCTAAAAGTCAGCCTACGTTTAGTCTACATCTGACTTTGGGGATATTCCTTCATAGTCAAACAAAAGTGTATTTTCTGTGCAGTTCACACCCTTGCTCGCTGGATCTGGGTGTCACAAAGCAAAGCCCACATTTTGTAATTAATCCCTGAACCCCGTTTTGGCTGGCAGGGTGCTGCAGGAGACTGAGTGCTGTCACACCCATCCTGGCCAGCCCTCAGCCATGCCCCCTCCTGGCCATGCCCACAGCCCTTCAAGGTCAAACACAACCCTGATGTGGCCCTCAATGAAATTGAGTTCGACATGTTGGCCTAGGGCAGAGGTGGGCAACTATGGCCCTTTTATGACTTGTGGACTTCAACTCCCAAAATTCCTGAGCTAGCATGGCTTGCTCAGGAATTCTGGGAGTTGAAGTCCATAATTCATAAAAGGGCCATAGTTGCCCACCCCTGGCCTAGGGAGTCAGGAGGAAAAATTGCAGGTAATCTTTGGACTAGCAGCAGTTCGTAGAGGGAATGGGGGCATAGCAAATGTCTCAGAGGGGACACCCCCTAGTTTGTTGGGCTACAAAGACAAGGGGGAGAGATCAGATTCCACATTCTGTTACAGGTACTCTTTGCTTAATGAGCGTAACTGGGATCTCCATGGCTAAGCAATGCAGGCATAACCAACAATGTCACAATGTGAACCCATTTCTTACTGATGGCAATCCCAGCAGTACCCATTGCTGTGGTTAAGTGAGAATCGTGGGACATTAAATAAGGATGCGCAGACAACATTTTGCGGGCTTACATCAAGCAAAATCAATGGGGAAGCTGGTGGGAAATCACAAGTCCCAGAGAGCTCACAAACAGGCTGGTGGATGAGTAAGTGGCTGCTGAAGCATGGCCGGGTGGGTTGGTATCTGAGGCTGGGTGTGGGAGATGTCAGTGGGCCAATGCCAGCCCATCTCAAGGGTGCCAGCTGCCCAGGGTTCCAGCAGAGACCTCCCAAGATCCTACCTTCTTTGTTTAGCTTTCATCTGAAGGCATCAGAGGAGGACAAAAACGATGGTCTTAAAAGTCCTTGTGCCAAGCAGAAGAAAGATAGCTAACGAGTTGTCTTCCAATTCCAATATCTATATTCACATGTAATGATAAACCAAGATGGTTCCAAGCATACTAGCATGTAGTAGCTGGCAACTTGGGCCACTAGACTAGGGCTTTGGATGATAATGTGGAGAATATCCTATGGAGCCTCCAAAATATTCTTCAGAACACAAGGCGCTATGAATGGAATCTCTCTCTGGAACTAATTCAAGCAACTACATCTTTTCCAAGGATTGCCCGTCAAAATTTGCTTTTAAGAAAGTGGCAATTTTCTTTGACCAAGGTTGAAAAGCAGCTCCCAGGCTGCCTTCAGAAGAACCAAGAAACCCTTTGCTCATTGCTATGAGAATCCAACAACCCATCATCCCTGTCAAAGGATGCTGTCCATGGTCCTGTAACTGCAATTACATTCTGCTGGCTGTGATAGCTTTCTGTAATTTAAGACAACTATATCTGTTTTCCAGTAACAGATCATTTGGAATTCTTGCACCAAGCTGGACTACAGCAATTGATTGTCCAAGTTCTGCTGCACTC